GGACACCACCGTCTTTCACCTCCCTCGCACAAAAACGTCGCACAACGGCGAGGACGTATTCTGGGCCAAGCAGCAAGGTATCACAGACCCAGAGGCAGCTCTGGAGAATCACTTTCGCGTTAACGATCCTCCGCATCAGGGCGCCCTTTTCTCCTACAGATGCAAGAACACGCACCGGCCTCTAACAAAGGCAAAATTCATATCGCGTCTCACTCAGGCAGCAAAAGACGCTGGTTTGAACCCTTTGCAAGGCCACGCCATTAGGATCGGAGCCACACTTGAATACCTCCTTCGAAACGTCCCATTTGATGTCGTCAAAACGATGGGGCGTTGGGCTAGTGATGCGTTTCAGCTCTATCTTCGCAATCACGCCCAGATTCTCGCGCCTTACTTACAAGACAACCCAGCCATCCAGAATGAATACTTGCGCCTTTCAATGCCGCGCGTACGTTGAACAACGCGTGAGTCCTCGTCCACCTCCTACTATCATGGGAATCCGCGGTTCGCTCGATGCGTCGCCGGACTCCTATCAACTTGGGAGTCGCAGCTCACCTTTCCTTCACAGGGTCAGCAGATCGGGACCGGAAGGCGCTGCGCGCCTTCGCCCAAATAGCTCGGAATCGTCTCTATAGTCGGGTCTTAGTCTTTCATGTATCGAAGTAGTAGTAGCAATGATTATTGTGACCTTATGCATCTACTCGCATCTCAGCGACTCGCAAAGAATTTCGATCCTGGAATATCCGGCCCATCCGAACATTCGACCTATGGCTGACTTAACATCACGCGACGTGTAAATGATAACCAAAATAGGTAAGCACGCTCGTGCGCTCACTGCGTGCATTGCCGAAACCTTCGTGCTCGCTGTTGCACATAGCGAGCTCAATTATTTTACCATTTTCACACTTTTTTTTCCGTAATTCTTTCACTGTACCATTTAATGTCATGAAACATTATGTATTTCGCATTTTTAGACCTCTTTAAGTTTACATAATTGAATGAATACTACAATGGGTCCTCCACCTCATCCCTTGGGCCTCAACCCATTCTAAAAAGGCTCCAGAGATTCAACAGTGTACCAGGAGAGAGTTTTACCTGCAAGTGATAGCTGGGTACTAGTAGCAGCCATGGTCACGGTGTCAGCCGCGACACGCGCGGCGGCGCTGTGAGTCACGTGGTATGTTGTGACCGTGAGATTTGCATTATACCTGCAAGTGGGTCGGATGTTCGGATGTTCGGATGGGCCGGATATTCCAGGATCGAGATGTCCTCATTGTGTAGGACGTTTGAAATTTGAAATTTGAGGTGGGGTTTGCATTGTAATGCAGACACAGGAACTGACATTTTCCATTGACAGGTGAAGGAGCTCCGACACATTGGCGCACCCTGAGTGTACTAATACCCAAGTACCATTTTATACCTTTGCCTCGCCGGTCCGAGGCAAGTCAGGATTTGGCCCAGAGGAAAATATTTGAGGTCTCACCTGATGCATTTGTAGTTTGTTGACTCGGAGTTTGAGCTCAAGAACCTTTGCAACGCCCCTTCATCGTGCAGAGTCCAGACGGAGCGCCGGCGGAACGATTCTTGATACCCACAAAGGAGGTTGGTTCTCTCTCCATTATTATGTCACGCAGATCTATAATGATTTGTGTCTAGCAGTGTAGGATTTACCATGAACCAGGAGGAGAGCAATCTCGACAAATTCGAGCGATATGTGATGAACAATATCCCGATCCGACTCATACGTCTATCAGACATGAAGTTTGTTGTGCGCAGTGATGTCAAGAAGCACTTCCGGAGCTCTGTACCACTGGAGGACAGTCTGTATCACCCCTCCGAAAGCGTACAATACGCCATTCTATCTCATCGATGGCTGGATGAAGGAGAGCCAACCTACGATGATATGAAGGCGAACATAGCGGAAAGCCTGGCGGGATACACGAAGCTGATGAACTTCTGCGAAAAAGCCAGAGAGTACGGGATGGAATTTGTGTGGTCAGACACCTGCTGTATCGACAAAAACAACAGTACCGAGCTAGACGAGTCGATTCGTTCCATGTTTCGATGGTATCGCAATTCAGCCATTTGTATCGTGCACCTGGCGCAAAGCGAGACCATTGCAGATGTAGAGCATGATGAGTGGTTTACAAGGGGATGGACATTACAAGAACTCCTTGCGCCCGAGAAGATCAAATTCTTTTACAAGTGCTGGACGCCCATGACAGATGATGAAGATGACAAAAACATGGAACCGACTGAAGTAATGGAGACTCTGGAAAGAGCGACTGGTATCTCTTTTGATGACCTCTTCTTCACACCAGGTCCTATCAGGGTGGATAAACGAATGACATGGGCAGCGAGACGCAAGACAACAAGGGCCGAAGATGTGGCTTATTCTTTAATGGGGATGTTTGACGTCAGCCTGCAGGTCGCTTACGGAGAAGGAGGAGACCGCGCCTTCTGCAGGCTCATTGAAGCAATAATGCAGGCCGGTGATCCTTCTGTCTTTAACTGGAAGGGCCAGTTTGCAGAACATTGCACTTCACGCGCTATTCCTCAATCGCCCCAGAGCTACGTGGACTGTCAAGATTTGGAATTCGATGATGAGCGACTCGAGATGACGATGACCAGCCTCGGCTTACGAGTGCCTCTAGCGATACTCCCACTCAATGTTTCTTGGAGACGGTTTGATGGCTCGAGTACCCAACTCAAACTCAAGTGTCCGCTGTGTCCGACCATCGAAATTGACTTCACTTCATATGACCATACTAATTTGTTTCCAGAAGACATTGGTGAGTCTGATATATAATCGAGAAGGAATGGTATCTTAACTCGTATATGGCCCATCTAGGAAAAGCTATGTCTGACGAATACTCGTGGGTTTATGCACTCGGAGTTGTCAACTACTCAAATATCGAAGGATCACGCGAAGTCCTTGGAATCCGGCGCAAATCAGCTGGCTTCATTCTAGCGCGGAAACCCAAGCCAACTTTCCCACCGGGATTTCAACCAAGTGACATTCTTGGGATCACAATTGTGTGTCGCCCAGAAAAGAAATTCACGAAGTGGTCATTGATAAACAGCGGGGGTTTGATTGCGGTTGAGTTTCCGAATATACCGGAGGAATCGATTGTCTACATCGATCCTGACTACTTACAATCCGTGTATTTATAGGTTGTCATGCCCCACACTACACCACTTGTCGTGGTTTCGTTCTAAATGGGCCAATCATTCTGCAAGGTGTGATAGGTGAAGCCAAACATTTATCATGCGCATTTTTATTTTATTTTAGACTAACACTTTGGTCGTCCTTGCCTGGGCAGGGTGACTTGCCGGTCTTTTTTAAGAAACCGGAGTGACATTTTCAACAGGAACGATGACAAAAGCACGGCCGCCTGGCGAAATGGCATCGCGTCTGACTACGATAACGAAGGAATCAGGAGATTGCAGGTTCGACCCCTGCGGTGGTCATTTTTGTCCAACTCGAGAATCTTCGCTTTTCTACTGCATTAACTCGCACAGAGCAGACATCATTCGTCGTTCAGACTGATCAAACGGCCACGACACGGTGCTTTAATCCTGACTCCTCGACCATCACATATTGGGGCATGGGCACGCTTGTAGGTTCCCATGTCAGGAACTTCAGGTACGAAGTCGGCCGGACTGGAGAATCTTGTCAGGGTGAGCATGACCGATCTGAGAGAATTCCATCGACACTGAGTGGCTAGTGTTCCTGTGGGTTATGCTTGTCAAACTTAAACTTACCTGGTGGTTATCATCTCGCGTTAATTTCATCCGTATTCGCCACCATCTAAGCAAGTCCTTTGACCATGACTCTCGCGAGTATGCGCTGCCTTGCGCATGCATGTGTATTGTCATCGACAATCCAGAACTGTCGGCCCAATACAGGTTGAGCTGTTTCCTATATCTTCAAAGTTCAGCTGCTCACTCGCCATCGTTTTTGGGGCATGATAACGTGGCCGGCATGTCTTGATGACTATCAAATTCGTATATGCTATGCACACATTTCGGTCATTCGAACTGTCGCTGTGCTGATCTAGGCCAATTGTAGGTTGAACATCTTTCATCATTGTGAACCTGGGCTTGTTGGAAGTAAATTGTACAAGGACGGTTTGGCACTCTTGACGTCGTGCAGTCGCTCTGGTACCATCATTGACTGAACTCAGATGAAAGTCGATCAATCACAAGTAGCACCGCTGCCTGTCACACTGGGAGCTTCAAAGACAAAATTTTCATGAAGTAGCGTGAATCAAATTGCAAAAGTTGTGCGAGGATGATCAACTGTGGACACGAACGCCATAAAACGTGTGCTACATCTGACGCTGAAACAAGAAGTTCTGGTGGTAGTATGAGTAAAGATTATCGTAAGCGTCTCAAAGAGACTCGACAAAAAGCTCATAAGCGGCCCTATTATCCAGCCCTCCTGTGATGTGCAGAGTGACACGTAATTTGCGTCGTTCAAATGCAGACTGATTCCAAACGGTAATGAGTGTCTGCACCTCATCCCTAGGGCTTCTCGTGAACTGAGAATCATATGTGACCCCAGTTGCTCTTGTGCCAAATATACCACGGACTGGGTGTGGTGTTATGGGAACACGAGAGCCCACTGCGCTAAGTCCCTGACCCGCCAGACGAGCAGAGACTCCAAGATCCTCTAGAAAGCGAGTCCAGTCTGCCTGTTGAATTCCATGTTTCTCAAGTAGACCTGAAGGATAAAGAATGCGAAAACCATCTGCGAGGTTGTTTCCAGCGCAGGGGATTCTGAATGGAGGGAAATCGTTAGATTTCACTCTTGGAGGTGACGGAGTGGAGAAGCAGTCAGGTGGAGGATCCAAGGGCTTGCGAAGAATAAGAGGGGAATATTGGGTCAGATCTATAAAGTGAGGTTCCCAGATGGGTGGTGCTGTAGTAGCTGGAGTGTATGGTGGTGGAAGGTCTTCTGACATGACCGTTGTGGTTCAAGACACGTGCCCATGATTAGCGTGGTCCGGGTAAGGCTTGTTACGCGCGCTTTGCTCATGCAAAGACTCTCTTGCTTGCAATGCGACCTTTAATTCTTCATGTATCTGCTCTCAACGATCTAGAATACAACCTATTTACTTCATCTCTCAATGATCTTGCAGTCTCGCCTGACACTGTCCACGACGATGCCCACTTTGAAGTCATGTCCGTTGGCGTCCGCGAAGTCAGAGCATGGCTACGAGGCAGATATCCCAATTTACCAACTGCAGATATCGACAAGGTTCGGCCATTCATACGCCTTCTTCATGTCCTAACTGTACGCGTTCCGCCTAGATCTTGAAACTGTTCTACCCAAACTTGCTCCACACAGATTGTCTCACCGGTGGCCAGTTTTTTGCTGCACTCAGGCTTGTCCTTCACGCTGTGTCAGGTAAACGCGTTGACAGAGCTCTTGCGTTTGTCCAAGGTGCGTGTATTACCTCCTCATCCTTCGGTCAGCACTGAACCGAATACCCTCCAGCCCACCCTACCCCAGAACTTTTTGAACGCTCGAGATCAACTTCTCCCTCAAAGCGTCAAGTGCACGCTCCGCCTGTTCATCCAGACAGACCCAAACAAAATGCTACATCCTCAAACTCTTCCTCTCCAGACACAAATCCCTTTCGCAAATCACTCGAGTCCGATACGCAGCAGTCATTATCATCTGTTCCAGATCAATCTGACACCCCTCTTGTCATACCCTCCCGTATGTCACAGAAGATCAGCCATAATCCGTTCTTGATGCGCGACAAAGCAAATTGGACAGACGCTGCTCAGAAATCGCCCGAGCACAATGATGCCAACATCCCACCGCTTCCTCCTCGAAAACCAGCACCCTTGGTTGCCCAAGCACGGCGCACATCGTTAGCCCAGTCCCGAAATGCACCTGTTCTGGCTCCATTTGATACTCCTCGCAGTATTAAGCCAAGTCATATCACGACTCCCCTGATGAAGCAGTCACTGGAGGCTAGCAAGCACGGTCAGAACTTGAAGCGTGTTGAAGAACAGCTGGATCGTGCGCGTGTTCTACAGGTGCTCAAGACGACGTCATCCGGTTCCTCCGCGAGCAGCAGGCCGCGCAGCCTAAGTCCCACAAAGCAATTCCGCAAAGGACTCGACAGTCGTTCGTCTGGATCTGAAGACACATGCCCTGCACCTCCGCTCCCTCGTCGACGAACACCCAGCTCTCCATCATCAACCTCGAGTTCCCTGCCATCCATCGACCAAGTGGCGAGTGCTAGCTTAAACACCCAATCCTCATATACGCCCACCCCTTTCCGCCCACCACTTCCCACCAGAGAACCAACCCTTCCCGAAAACTCCTTAATTATGACACCAGATGTCTCATCCCATCTACCTGCACCACCAACCCACCCGGATCGCAGACCTACAAACGATACAGCAGAGTCCATTACGTCTTCCTCTACGCGTCCCACGCGGTCCAAGTCACTGCGCCACACTGCAACACCCCCAGTTCCCCCTCGCCGCAAGCGTCCCGAGAGCATCCAGATCACCGCAGCGTCAATTACAACGGAACTCCCCTCATCCACATCCGCATTTCCCTCACACACACGAACATCCTCATTCCAAGGCCTCTCTCGCCACATCTCCTTCACGAGAGATCGTGACGCCACTGACGCCTCACCAATGTCCCACATCCAGAAAACTATCTCAAATCTTCAACTCAAAGCCCAACCCAAACTGGATGCGGCGCGGTACAAAGCTGAGGCAGGTCTCAGTCGGCGGGGGTTCGTTCACCATTCGCATGCGCCAGCGAGGTGGATGGAGGAGGGCGAGCAGGGGCTGATGACGGATACCCATCGCGAGGACGACGATGGTGCTCATGTTGATCGTGATCCAAATACAGAGTCTCCTACCGACGATGAGCCAAGCTCAGGGGAAGACCTAGCGCGGATGAAGAACTCTGGCGTACATCGTGACTTTCTGAAGGAAAAAGACAACCTCAAATGGCCAGCAGGCGAGGGATGGAGACCGCTATAGTCAAGTTAAGCGTGTGATCATGTGAGAAGTCCATACTGATTGTATTATACCCTGGGTCCCTATAGATACCTACGATATGGTAGATCCGGCAAGCAAGGGGGTAATCGTGTACTAATTACACTTGTCGTATGATGTATCTATATCGTCAACTGTCGTATCTTCATCAGGTTTCGCCAAGGTTTCGCATGTGATCTGTTATTACAAATGTTACTGTCACTTCGCGCTCAGAACAAATCCGCCCGCTTTAGGTGTTCGCGCAAGATCCCATCCCGCACTGCCAGGTTGTTCCTTCATTTAACAAGTTGTTTAAACCACAAGAGAATACAGAAGCACGTACCAGATATCAGTGTTGCAGACATACTCTTCGTATCCTATCATGCAAATGAAGATTAACAGGACTTTCAACCTGGAACAAAGGGAAGAACCAACAATGACGGACGTCGGGTATATATGACATACCCGCGGCTCCGGAGAACAGTACCTCACCGTGTCTTTAAACTTTTGTCGAAGGTCTAGAGGCAACTCGTTTAATCACACTGAAAGATCGCAACGCAGGAAATATATACATTTGACAACATCATTCGTCACATTTGGCCGGTCGCCGTAGCTGGGGAGAAAGCGCTTCACCATTACGCCGTGTCTGATTTTCTCCTCGAGAATGTCCATCTTGTTTAGGAAAAGGACGAGGATCGTCCGCGAGAGAAGCTTGGAGGAGCATATCGCTTTCCAGAGTATGAAGGAATCCTCCAGACGGTTGACACGGGGGTCTTCGACAAGTCGCTCGTCAAAACACGAGATTGGTGCGAGAAATATGACCGCATTGACTTGATCAAAATATGGTAGCCAAGCGTGACGCTAGCAGACATCATCGGCGATGAGCATGAATTGGAAAATCGGCGAAACACGGACTTGTGTGCGCGAGCCGCCAACGTCGAAAATCTTCCATTTCGGAGCATCGGTCTCTGAAACAAAAATGGATTCAGAAAACAAAGGCGAAAAATCTCACGCTTCACTCACCGTCATCAACTATTAGTTCGTGTTCCTGGATGTCAAGCGTGCGTAATCGAGCACGAAGGACATCGTCATCTGTTGGCTCATAATCTCGTGCCGATAATCGGTCGATTGAGTCCAAAAAGCTGCGAGCAGATGCAATTCAGAGAGAGAAGGCGAGAAAGGAATATGAATAGGCTGACAAGCCGGCAGAGTCCTCAAGCCGGGTCTTCCGTCTCCATAGCATGGCTTGTATGCGACTATCCTCCCATAGGGCCTTGATGTCATCTTTGCCATTTGCGATCACATCTGTGCTGTCGAGTAAAGTGGGAAGATCCTGCTGGAAGGAATGTCGCGAAAACTCGGGACCTCGGGTTGCTTGAAGAAAGTTACGCCAAGTCCGAGAACGAACAAAGAATTCCGGCGACCCGATGGGTGCGATTGTTGATGGAGAGATCTGTTTTCGTGGTTGGATATCTTCGGTGGCACCGAGCAAGCATTTCAAATTATTCTCGACTGCCTGCAGTGGATACAGGCGAACTTTATATTGACGATAGTAATCGTCGAACTTGAATGCATCATCGAGTTCGTCTGGGTCAGCATCATCCATCTCCTGTGACAGCGCATCAAGGATGGTGTTTGCAGAACGAACGAGATTTAACAGTATGACCGCTCGCCATGACGCTCGTTCCTCTATCCATCTATCTCGGGCAAACCGCATGCGGAAGTCTACGATGCTCATTCAATGATGACGGAATAAGAAGACAACGTAACCTACTCTTCAAGGTTGTCGATTTGCCTGTTGTAAAGCTTGAGATGCCAGGGGAATTGTGAGAGTTGAATGGACGCACCACTTTCACTCTGACCCAACAGTAGGATCTTGACTGTATTCTCTTCTTTCTTTCTTACCGCTCGTTCAGCGCGAATTTCGTCGTCAATGAGATCACTTATTCTTTGAGCCTCATTCTCCCGTTCTTCCCTGGCGGCTCGCTCGTGTGAAGATTCGTTCGGGGGTGGTGCGCTGATAACCGCTAGCGGATCGGTAGTATCGTGATGGAAGACCACGCTGAAAGCCATGTGAGTCAATGCCCGGGGGCACCGGTAGAGGACGATTATGGGTATGGACAGCGATGAAGAATTTATGCGATAACAACCCGCGCTTTATGACCAATCTGTGGGTGACCGAATACTCTCGTAAAAGGTGATCAGGGACGAGTCGTGATGAGCTTTTAGGCAAAAATCTACCCAGTGAATTCCTAGCGGGAAAATCGATCAAGTGTGTGCAAGTCCGAGGCATTGAATGATCATGAAGCCAATTAAGTAAGATTCCTGATAATCTTGTTGTGTTGATGGTAAATTGTAATAATATAGGATATCCGCAGAGCTGAAGGGCCTCTGCAGTGGTGAGAGTCTTTGAAAGGGCCTGAAAGGCTGAAAGAGTACAGCGTTACCCAGCGGCGTATTGTCGTATGTGATCGAAATTGATCGCATCCTGAGAATGTCGTCAAAGAAACGCCAGGTGTCAGCATGGTTAATAGACACAACCGTATGCTCCCCAGCTGCCAATTCCTGTTTGAGAATTTAAACCCTTACAAAGCCAAGCGTGTCGCTGTCAGTCCACGCCAAGCAACCTAACCTTACAGATAACGGTCCAGGTGAAAAAGTGAGTGTATAAATATCAATCATCAGGTATATATGGACAAGTACGAACAAAGCGCAGCGAGCGCCAAAAAAAATATTATGCATTCATTCCTCACAACAGCGAGTCTAATTTTGAAAGAACTTCGAGAACTCCTGCAATTAAGTGAAACGAAGGGTCATCCTCCCCGTTCATCTCTCGCTTCACCTCTTGCACAAGACCCAACACACTCTCCCGCCCACTAGGAGCACTGTTTCCCATCCCGATATTCGCAGCTTCTCTCCTTTTGCCACCTCCATTTCCTGTCGCCGAAGTTGACCCGAATGGCCAGCAAGCAAACTCCGCCAGTATCTCGTCACATCTCTGAAAGGCAGCTTCCCTGTCTTCATATGTCAATCTGCCAAATGCATTGTCCAAGACACTGGCTGCATATGCTGCGCACACCAAGCAAACAGTACGCGTGACCCTGCATTGAGTTCCTTCCTTATCCAAAGCGCTCGGTGGTACTGCAGAAGTGGTCGCAGTAAGCAGCGATACTGCCCGTGTGACAATGCTTTCCTTCGTCCGTACGTCGGCAACTGGATGTGTGGCCATATCGAACAGCAAGAAATTACGCTTCTCAGTACGTAGGACACCCTTGTCCACCAGTCCTTTTGCTAGACGTTCACGAACTTGCTTAAGTTGATATCCAATTTTCATGACATTCCACGTCTCTCCTATGGAGAAAGTCAGCTTAGCAATGAGATGAACATCAATGCGGGAATGATGACATAGAATGCTTATAAAATTCTAAACGCACCGCTCAAAAGATCAACCCAGCCATTTATTGACATTCTGTCCGTCTCCTGGCCCTTCATCATCTTCAATGCTTCATCAAGAATAGTTTCACCAGTCGGTTTGTCGTCAATAACCTCAACCAGCCTGTCTGCGAGCGGACTCCGCCGTTGATTTAGATCCTTGACTAGAGCTATGCGGCGGCGAAGGGCGAGCTCGATGAGAATACACCCTCTAAGTGCATAGGATATGCTGTCATTCCAAAAGGAGAGATAACCCTGCAAAGAGCTGATGTCAGGGCGTGGCAAATGAGGACGCATGTGCACGAATATCGTCCAGCTCAAGCAGGTAATGTAAGAGGCATGCTATGCTACTGAGGCAGGGTAGCCTAAGAAAGCGCAGATAGCACCCAAAAGAACAGCGCACAGAAAAGAAGGAGTAGGGGGTGTATAAAAGAGGGTCCGGACATACATGTTTGTCTTTGAGACCAAGAAGGAGCACCTCTTCCATGATTGTCAGCCGAGGCATTCTGCCACCATAGCGACTGTCTTCCTGGACTTGATCGAGGTCGCGAGGATCACAGGCCACTTTGCTTCCGCCTTCAAAAGCCGAGCCTGCATGTGTTACAACTGTTCCATTGGGATTGGGACCATTTGGTGTCCAGCTAGGACTTGGGGCGTCATCCGAAGCTGAGGACGATGAAGCTCCAGCCACCCGCCTGCGAGAAAGTCCACCTGCCGAGCTCATCGCATACCACGTTCAGTTTGAAAGATATGGGGTTCCTAGCTATAGTTTTAAGGGAGAGATGACGGGGTGGAGAGTGGTTCGGATGTCCGTTCAGACCAGTGACAAGTTTGACGTTGAAGGCTGTGTCACATTCCCCCGTTCGGAAATACTCCCGGGAGTACACTAAGGATCATGCATCATGTTTCATGTTCCTTAAACTACTTAATCTCCAGCTTCAAGGACCAAGCGCTGAATTTCTAGAGTTCACCAATGCACCCTCAAGTGAGGCACCATACGACGCTGCATCTCCCAGTGGACCGTCTTTAGCTGACTCTTTATGGTTTGTCCTCAGAACACGGTTGTCTGATGCAGATAGGGTCATTGATTCTTTTACGCTCGACAGCGTGACAGTATCGCCGCTTTCCCTTAATCACGAATCCCAACATCTTGATATGCCAGAGAATGACATTCTTACAGAGTTATGCTATCTTCAACTTTCCGCTGCCTAATCTCTCGTCTCCTTGTCCTTGATAATGCCTTCTAGGGCACACAACAACATTCTTGCGATACTCTCATCGGTTCACCTTTATTGGTTTTCTATCGTCATGATTGTCAACACTCGGCCCCAAAGTCACACAAAATGGTCATCCGAAACTTTTCGCCAACTTCAAATGCTACGTTCTCCTTCACATTATGGTAATGTGATGACTATGCGTACTATATGCAGTCGCAAAGGGTAGTTGAGAAGCACTCAAGCCGATACGGCGGGGACCCTTCAATGTCCGAGAATTGTTGCAAGAGGTGACTCCGACTCTGACAATCGCCGAGATTTCTGAAATCTGAAGGTTCGACCCGCATCTGGCACAGATGTGACCGTAGACTTTACATCCAGTTTGAGGGAACGTCTGTCTTCCTTCTAATAGTCTGACTGGGGGAGGCTAACCTTCAGTTGATTTTGAAAGTGAATACATTATTTTACCTATCTAAATTGATCTACGCGATGCAAAATATTTCGACCCACGTGATTCAGGTCCGCGCACAATGACCTGATTTTTTCCCGTCGGTTCATAATTATGTAAAAGCTTCATCCCTAGTGGATCACATCATGATCAAGGAATCATTCTTCGTCTATAAATGAAAAGGTCTGCTTACTAGGGGAGACCCAATTCAAGTACTGAAATCACGGAGGCTGCAAGGTCGGCTCGTCCCCTCATCATTTCACTCTAGCCAGTGAGTTTTACTCCAGCATCTCCTCTTATCCTATTTCTTGTTGCCGTGGTGGTTCAATTCGTCACTTACGCTGTTTTGTTTTGCAGACACATGGTTTCCACTCAGTACGCCGACGGACGTCAAGAAAAACGCGTCGAGAACTATACCAAGTTCTGGCAAAAGGATCTTGGTAAGGAGGGTGAAGTGGACAATCAAAACCGCGTTGAGAGCTACACCGACGTTGTAAATGGTATTACCTCATTTTTCTTTCAAATGGTTCTTTAGTGACAGAAGACGCAGGTTATTACGATGGAGCGACGGAGCTGTATGAGTATGGCTGGGCGCAGTCCTTCCACTTCTCGCGATTCTACAAAGGAGAGGCTTTTGCAGCATCCTTGGCTCGTCATGAGCACTACCTCGCAGCCCAAATGTCACTTCGCCCTGGTATGCGCGTGCTGGATGTCGGGTGCGGCATCGGTGGTCCCGCACGGGAGATAGCTCGGTTTGCCGACGTCAGCATCGTTGGATTGAACAACAACGATTTCCAGATTCAGCGTGCTCGGAAGTACACTAAAAAGGCTGGTCTTGAGGACCAAGTAAGTTTTGCCAAGGGTGATTTTATGAAGCTGTCAGAACAGTTCGGCGAGAACTCATTCGATGCTGGTGGGTGTTTGTGCAGTTTCTCGAGAATTGTTGAACTCGAACACATCGCGATCAGTGTATGCCATTGAAGCCACTGTCCATGCACCCACGTGGGAAGGAGTGTACGGGGAAATCATGAAGGTTCTGAAGCCTGGAGGAGTGGTATGTCAGTCATTGCCTTCAAAGTCCGATATATTGAGCATTAGTTACACAGTTCGGCGTCTACGAGTGGTGCATGACTGATACATGGAATCCATCAATCCCTGCGCACAAGGAACTTGCCCATGCCATTGAGTTTGGCAATGGTATCCCAGAGATGCGTCACTTGAAGAAAGCCCGCGAAGCCATGGTTAACGTTGGCTTCACGATTGAGCATGAAGAGGATTTGGCTGAACGTCCTGACGAAGTTCCATGGTATTACCCACTTGAAGGCGATATCTGGAAAGCCCAGACTATCTGGGATTACTTTACCGTTTGGCGAATGAGCTGGAGCGGCAAGCTCGTTTCACACACTGCAATCAAATTCATGGAGATGCTTAATCTTTTGCCCAAAGGCACTTATGATGTTGGCGAATCTCTGAAGGTTGCTGCTGATGCGCTTGTGAAAGGTGGCCAGACGAAGGTATGTTGGAACGCTTTTCTGTATATCTACGCGGAGGCTCATGATCTTTTTGAAGCTCTTCACGCCCATGTATTTCGCAATCTGCCGCAAGCCCACGCTCTCCGAATGTTAGACTACACACCTACATATATATTACGTATATAACCCCTGCTAACACTGACTTATCCTAGAACCATTGCACAATGATATCGCACTCTTTGACCTTGAGCTTGAACCTAAGGTAATCCGAGACCACAAATGATTCAAAGAGTCCACCCAAGTTCCGCGCGGTGATAAGCATAGGCCCATTGGGAACGATCCTTCGGGTATTACCGAAGAAGGATGTGAATTGAGAGCGAACCTTGTGTCAGCTTCACGATACTATGGCCAGCGATCCCAGGGTGAGCAAACCCAGGTTGCCCAAGGCTTATACCGACGAACAGCTCATCTTTCTGCGAAGTCACATAAGCGGCTTCGAGACACGTACTCGCGGACATGTGAGAGGCGACGCCAAGAAGTTCGCGTTAGACCGCGCCAATGAGTTTCTTGTCCGTTTTGGCATGCCCGAAGACCTCCAGGGCATCGACGAGGCAGAGCCAAGATTTCGGGAGGTGAGGGCAGCTACAGCCGATCTTTAATTGAGGAAGGGAAAATGTATTGATGGAGTTATTGACCCTAGCAAATATACAATTGGTACAAGAATACCGTGGGCCGAGCGAGACGAAAGCTTGAGGGAAGAACGAGATCCAAGAAGCCAGCTGAGAAAGGTTTGGATCTCAAATCAGTACACTCTCCTGATCCTTAGATCTCCATTATAGTTTCTGGGTCCCCTGGTCACAATAGCTTAACATGGAGCCCGAATCTTGAGACTCCAACCACTGTGTCGTATGCCCAAAACGACATAGTAGCCCAAACTGCCAGCTCGTCATCGCAACAGCAGCAGCAACCTCAACAACATGTACCTCCTCCTCCGCCTACTGGTCATATACAGTTCAGTTTCCAGGCTAACGTATCAGTGCCTTCTGCAGCCACACTTGCTCTAAAAGCTAGCCCCAACGCTTTGAGAGAAGCGTTCTTTACGCGAGGAATAGACGTTACGACACTCTCATCGCTCATTCAGAGTTATGTCTTGTCACACCCCTCGCCCACTCCATTAAATCCCATAATCGACGCTCTCTTTGCGGCTGTCACTACATCTCTTAACGCCCCGACAGCCTCACGAACTGCTTCAAACCACGACACGATCATAACTATTCTCCGTCGTTTCACCGAAGCATGTGGGTATTTCCCGGCGACGCTCGTGCACGCAGGTGTCTCCGGTCCAGTTGCCGGCCCTCGCGCATTGCAGATGGCGATTCGTAAATCGTCCGTATGGTACCCGGTCCTTACCCCGGCAAGCGGGACCACGATGAGCGATGAAATGGAGCGCATCGCCGCAGACCGCCAAAAGCGGAAAGACTATATCCAATGGGCGCAAATTCATGGCGCAGCGCTGGAACTTGGTTTATTGAGTTTCCGTGGCGACTACGCCGGCACGGCCGAATCACTGTCGGAGTTGATGGCACGCGATGCAGTTTGGGAGGCAGACGAAGTGGAATGGGTTGCAGGCATATTCGTTCTGCAATCTCTCATCAGGACTGGGTCATTGGCTCGGAAACATGAGTATGAGCAACTACTGTCGACCTATGAGGGGAGGTGGAAGGAGATTAAGGACGAAGCGCGACAAGCGCTTGTAACGGTAAGTGATGTTTTAGCAATGCACGAGGTTGACTGATGGAACTCCTAGGAAGTGTTGTTGAGCGCTCAGCAGGACCTGGCTCACATGGACGAGGGGCGCGTCCAGTGAGCTCATTATAACGTTGAGATAGTATCTAGTTTGGAGGGATTGAATACCGAGGTCCTTGTGCTGCATGCAACGTCCTTGACTGCCGTTACCAGACGCGACCCTTTGTCGCTGTCTCGCCATTATTATAATATGCCTACTATCATACAAGAATTGAAACAATGGCTATCTTGGCCTGCTTACAACTTTCGAGCGAGATTGCTTGACGTACTAGTCCCCTGAACATGTGAGTGACTACTTACCCCGGATTAACCTTAACCTTAACGATCGATGTCATGATCATGAGAAAGCGAACTTGAATTTTCGGTCGATCGTTTAGTTATAGAATTTAGAAATCGCTTATAAGCGTGCCTTTTCATGTTCGGCTCTCTCTTACAGCTCCTTACTCATGTACGTTCTACTCTTTTTTTTTCTCTCAAGCTCAAGGACTTGAATCCCTTCGAAATGACTTCGCTTAACTGTCCTGTCACTGACTCACCGTTCTAACCGCACACCATGAAATGTGCACTCGCTGCGCAAGCCTGTCAGAGTCTCCCTCAAACACGTTCTTTGAGGCGCGATCTGGAGGAATCGCAGCGTGTTTTATCCCTTCAATCCTCCCATCGGTCCCGGCGACTTCCCGCGTCGGCGGCCCTGATTCCTACTAGCTAGGCAATTGAAAACTCAATTTACATTCGTATACAGCGCGGTGATCCGAAGCTTATACGATTTTTGAATGCCACGTTTTCCCGGCAGCATGTAACCTCACACGCGCTAATGAGATATTCAGAAGTTTCCCTGTGGAAGGATGACTTCTAGTCGCCGATCATAGCAAAGAAGCCCGAATTCACTTGTTCCATCCGACAAAAGCACGCCCTCCAATGTCCGCGAATTGCAGGGCACTCTGAGTCGCTGTGACGTTTCCGAATGCTCATATGATCTACACGAGTCTGTAATGCGGACTGCCGGTACGGATATTGACTCGCTTTTTACCCGCATTACCTGACCTTTATTACTCTTCTTGAGTTCAGGAAGGGTTCAGGGGGGGTTGTTATATGGGCAATCAGAGGTTTGCGAATCCTTTCTTGAAGACTAACTTGGAAGGGTTAGCCAAGTCAATCCCTCTAGAAACTGACACTATGACCCGAACTGGACTGTGATTACAAGAAAGGGCAGGTATCCTTCTATGGAAGGTGATACAGCCTTCGTTTACGTGGAACCGAAAATGGGGTCAACGTTCGGATGAGTCAAAGGGGCCTCGACAAGTTGCACGTTTTAATATTCTCACAGAGTGAGGGAAGTAACCAGGTATGTAAGTCTTCTATTGATGCACGGGGCAAAGAGGGCGTCAAGATTACTTTCAGTCGATCATCTATAAAATACAGTGCACTCCTCACCTCCGCTCTCACTTTTATTCCTTCCTCTCGGCCATCGGATCCACGCGTGTGCAGGCATACAACAATTTAGCCATCGACCTCAGGTGCGTCCGCGTTGTGCCTGAAAGCATGGTGAGCGACTGACTCTCTTGCTACCACACGCCATAGACTAGACTTTCTTGCGACAACTCCTTTCGTTCTAACTCACTCTTTAACACTGCCATAGAAGTTTTACTAGCAGTCTAGATGGACAACGGTCTCATCCAAAGCAGTTCCACTTCAGGTGTTCCGAACAAGGTAGGATCGAACAATCCCTCTATGTCCGCCTACAGTCGGTCTCACTTTCCTCGTTGTCTGGACCGTAGTTATCTATCTCGCTTGACTTTGGTAGCACCAGCACCTCTGTGGACACCAGTGGCAACCGATGGTCGCCTGTCGTCTCGCCAAAGTCAGCATTGACCTTTGCAGCGGTATGGGACCCAGATGACGGCATGGTGACATTTTCCGGAACACACTTACTCGATTCAAGCGACGAATATGACAGTTCCTCAGGAGCTATTACTCCTCCTGACGTTTCGGACGATGATTTTCCTCAGACTGTTGCAGCCGACCACGACGGATATACTACATCAGAAGAGAATACTGCAGCTACTATTGGAACATTCCAAGATTCGTTCAAAGCCTTCCTCCATCGTGTTCCGCGGAGTTCAAAGTTTTGCAAGCGACATAAACACTCCAATACGGTGACATCCTCGACGTTGGACGGACTAGACGTATACTCGCGAGACCCTATTGTACGGCCATCACGCCGGTACCCATCTTTTGATAAGCTCAACACAGAACTCTCATGCAAGGCGCAGGCTGACCAATCAGATCTTGTGTCAGATGAGGGTTTCTTCGAAAATATACCAGTCATTACAAAACACACAGAATTGGTATGTCTGTTATCGTACCACGCTGCTTCACATCTCACCACTGATACAGAAATCACACTGGTCCGTCACGACTACCTCGACATCTGCCTATGTCGATGTCCCACGTGTGGAACAAAAGACTCCTGAGAGTCGTGTACCACATCCGCTATGGATAGCGGACACATACCAGCCAACTTTTAACCTCGCCACTCCCCCAAATAGTCCGCGCCGACGCCTGAAAAAACGCCGCCCTAGTGAATGTCCAACTCCAGTTTCTCCGATTTCATATAGCAGCAGCTCAGGTTCGACAAGTCCAATTTCCACTAGTACTTCCTCCACCCCGACATCGCCTTCACGTAGCCTCAAGTCCAAAAAATCTCGTCGTTTTACAAAAGCGTCAACCGACGACAGCTGGGTCTCTATTGAAATAACTCCATTCATTACCCAACGGGTCGTCGAGGAGATGTGAGGGTCTTCGGTGCCCTTCTTGGCGCTTCTCTGGCCCGAGTTCGACGTATTGTATACACTATTTTGTGGTTTACCCTCCTTTTAAAGTATTTTCCTTCCTTCTAAGTATCAATATGCGCTGCAGGCAGTTACTACACACTCACTGTGAACGTTCCTTTCACTGTAATTAAATTTGTTGACACATGTTTACAACTATTGAGAGACGGCGTCTCGCATATATAGGTGCTGGCTCACCGTGACTGCGTTTCGATATGTATGATCTGTACACACCATCAACGGTATATATCACGGTGATATTACAGCACAACAATATTTGGGTATTTATCCCACAGAAATACAATTGGTCCAAGTACCAGCGAACCACTGGGAAGCCTCTTTTTAACCAGAACCTGTCCCCCAAGCGCCTCACGACCAGCCCCAGCGCTAACTCCGTGTAGAAGTTGGTGACCATACATAAGCAGAATGCAAGGAGAGGCGAATAAACGTGTAAACCGAGGAGTAACATGTATCGCGTGTATATAAGAGGAGGAAAAATCACAAACATAACAACATAATCATGATGGGTAGTAGAGATTGTCATCCCAGTCCTCTGAAACGTGCATGAGCAGTGTTGAAATAGATAGGACAGATGTCGTTACCTTCTGTGATTCCTCGCCATGCAAAGTAGAGAGTGACTACGCATGCGGTCTCCAGTATTGTGGCGATGAACGAGCCGTCAACTTTCATTGATGAGCCCTGCAGGTACCGACAGATCAGCAGTGTTGGACGTATTATCCTTCATGCAGTACGCACTCGACATATAATTTTGCTCAGTAAGAAGTAGTCGAGCTGGCTAAGCACGAAGAGGATGCCTGCGATGACATAGTACCACACAGGTCGGATTTCGTTCAGAATCCCGAGGACAATGTACATCATAAGTCCGAAATAGATTAAAGCAGCGCTATAAAGATGATCCGGAGGAGTGAGCATCAAGAAGCCGCAATGAGGTCACGCGACTTACACTCCTGGCCAGATACTAGTGAGGACAAAAAGTGGTATACTGTTGATAGATTGGGGTGGATTTGATGTTCCAAGCACATGTGTAAAGGTAAATCCAACGTCCAAGGATATATATGTTGTTGCGACGAAGAATGCGACGGAAAGTACGGAGAAGGGCTGGGGTGGGGGTGAGCTGGCTGTACGTCGGAAAATGAAATCAAGACGCACTACTATTGAGCTCAGGGTGCCATCTTCCACGATCTGCGTTGCCACAATGGCATTGGCGAGCAATGCCCAGAATAATGTAGCGACGAGACCAGCCTGGATGGCAGTAAGCGCAACCAAGGCAGTCGAGCCCTGGGTAAGCAAGGAACCGGATGTAATCAACTGGAATGGAAGAGTTAAGAGGTACAAGACGAAGAATATCCGGAGTTCTATACGGCCTGTAATATAAAAAGATTAGTTTACAGGAGCGGGAAGGATGTGGGGAAGGATATGACATGTGGTTGAAGACGAAAAAAAAGTGGGTTTGGCAGAAGTAAGAAGACTAACCGACTGCTGCTTTGCGCCTTCCAGTGAAGTAAATCAAAGCGCCGATAACGAAGAAACTGAGACCGCAAGCGATGATATTGGCGATGTTGCCCAGAGAGCCGTCGGTATTCACTTTTGGTATCCCACACTCTGGATTGACACCGACCGGGGCGGAGGCGGCGGATTGAGATAGACCAGTCAAGACGGTTGGATCATTTGTTTGTAACTAATGGGGGAATGAGGTGAGCGAATGGGTAAGGAATATGGGGTTATGCAGACCTGGCGATAAAAGAGATTGCACCAGGTGTATGACGGGACCTGGGAGCAAAGTGTTTGGAAATCGCCAAATCGAGTCATCACAGTCGAAGTGAAAAACAGCGATGATTATATAGACGAGTAGCAGAAGAAGTTAGGGATATATACACGGGTTCTGGGTAAAACTGAATCGTGCAGGACGTGCAGAGTTCTATAGAGTCGTCAAGCAAGGAATTGAACGCTCGTAAACAGGTCAATACAACAAGTGATTACTCACATTATTTGATAGATGAGAGAACAAACGAATTCGAAGGATATGTTTTAAGCAAAGGATATAACACCAGTTTATCGATATCTTTGGAGTCGGACGAGCTTGCGAAATAACGAACGTTTGAACAATTGGAAAACAAGTTGATGCCAACGGCCACGTTGTTGTGGTGTCGGTGTGCTATTGTATTGATTAGGTAATAATGCATAGTTGCGCTGGCTGTCTGCTGTCCTCGTTGTCAAGTCTCAAAACACACCGAGTACTGCTCGCGATCGACATCGAACAGTGAAATCTTATCCAAAATTGAAGCCATTTGCTCATCTTTGATGCAATGCCGTGCCCGGCCTATCTCGGGAGTTGCTTCTTGAGCCGCATTGCGGCATGATCAGTACTGATGATAATTCATACATATCCATGTCAACAAGCTGAGTCATTCGTTTAAATACAGGAGCCTGAGTTTTATATCATTATATTCCCAATGTCTACAGTTCAGTACCGCTCCCTTGGCAAGTCTGGTCTCAAAGTCTCTGTCCCAATTGTGAGTTTGATGCTAGCGCATAGCATGCACATTCTATTAATATTAATATTCATTCTTCATAGCTTGGTGCGATGAGCTTCGGTTCCCCGAAATGGGCTGTATGTCATTGATTGCTATCCCCGACTCGTTAACCACATCCTCAATATCTTGCAGCCCTGGGTCCTTGACGAGGAGCCTTCCATTGAAATAATGAAGGCTGCTTGGGATCTTGGTGTCAACACCATTGACACCGCTAACATTTACTCAAACGGTGAGTCGGAGCGCCTCGTCGCCAAGTTCATTAAAAAGGTGTGCCTTACCGATATCCTAAATTTACATTCATTAATGTACGAACTCCACAGTACAACATCCCTCGCCCCCAGATCATTATCGCCACCAAATGCTACGGCCTTGTCGCAAATGATCCTTCCGTCCCGACGTTCTTCATGCCCGATCTCAATAACCTGCCCGAGTACGTCAACCAATCTGGCCTGTCTCGCGCTGCAATCTTCAACGCTGTCGACGCGTCCCTCGCTCGTTTCGACACCTCATACATCGATCTCTTGCAGATCCACCGCTTCGACCCTTCAGTCACCCCTCAGGAAACCATGAAAGCACTTCACGATCTCGTACAGAGCGGTAAAGTCCGTTATATCGGTGCCAGTTCCATGCGTTGCTGGCAGTTTGCCATGTTGAATGACGTGGCAGCTCGCAATGGTTGGACGACATTTATCAGCATGCAGGATGAGTACTCGCTACTCTACCGCGAGGAGGTGTGTCCCTAAAAATCACAACGTTTACTCTCCAGTCAAGCATCACATCTAGGAACGCGAGATGCTCGCTTATTGCAAATACAACGGTATCGGTGTCATCCCCTATGCTCCTCTATATTCTGGTCTCCTCGCACGTCCCGTTGGCACAGAGTCGATGCGTCATAATTCTACCAAGGGAACTATTTTGGAGAGAAAGGTGACCAGCGCGGACGCGACTATCATCAACCGCGTGGAAGAGCTTTCCAAGAAGAAAAACATCAAGATGAGCCAGATTGCGCTGGCCTGGGTTGCATCAAAGGTATCGAGCCCTATCGTTGGTATCAGTTCTATACAGAGGTTGCAGGAGAGTATCATCGACGGAATTGAGCTCACCCCGGAGGAAATAAAATACCTGGAGGAACCGTGCGTATTATGCTCGCTTGGTCACTCGACATGAGACTGACGACACCTTTACAGGTATGAACCTAAGGCCATCGGTGGCCACCTTTAGGTATTGGCAGTCAACCCACAGCGCCAAAGAAGATACACCAGCCAAATCTGTAGCACTTTGTATTACAACCATCAATGCAACGCACGAGTGGAGAATGATTATATCAATTTCAAAAGTCTGCATCACTCGAGAAACATCGCCGGCCGGAAATCCGTGCTCTTGGGTCGTTATCCCGCAACAGCTAGCTCGGTGATCATGCACTTAGGCTTGAAGGGAGCTCCTCGTTGGTGTAGTCCTCGAAGGTGAATATATGCGGCACACAACTCGGAAGACCTGGATTATGACTGAAGAATTTCTCGATCTGGCGGCTGGTATAGTAGCCAGCTAGGATGAAAACAAGTTTTAACGCGGTTCTCCATCTCTGCTAACAGGAAGCCCAGAACATTGGTACCAGACCCGCCCTATACGCTAACCAGCTGATAGGCCTCATCGATGAATATGGCACCATCGCCGACTTCCATAATGTTCTCGATGAGCTTTGCACCACTGACGCCATCATGTGCCAGGCTGGCTCCTGTGGTTTCCTTGAATGCGTTTCCTAGAAGTACTTGTATGGATTCGAGAAACTGGGCATATAGCGTTCTGACTGTTGTTTAAATTTGAAATTAGCGCAAGCGAAGAAGAGTTCCTACCTGTCCCTGGATTTCCCATGAGCGCAAGATTCAGACGGCTCCTTGCTCGCAGGTGTTCCTTGACGTTTCATCAAGTCTAGCTTCTTGGTTTGTAGAACTTGCGACTTCACTCGTCCAGTCATCGCCATAATACTATCAATTGTGTCATTTTGCTCGCCCAAGAGCCTCTTCTGCGATTCCCAGTCGTCACGAGCAGCAGACTTCTTTTGGCTACCAGGAGGTCGCGAAGGAGTCGATGAGGGATCTGAGGATTGCTGTGAGCCTTGAGGGTCCCAGGGAGAATCATGCGTTTGCACTGCCGTCTTTCAAGAAACTTGCTGTTTTCTGCGCGCGGACTTTTACCTCTTGGATCTCTCGTTCCTTCTGCTTGAGCATAGCCTCTCTTTGCTTCGCAGTATTGGCATCCGTAATAAATTCAACACATAAAACAGATAAGAAAGAAGGCAATGAGCAAAACCGCGGACGGACGAATAATCATCATACATGGGAGGTCCGCTATATTCCCGATCCACTCTTTTCATCACATCAATTATTACCTTACCAGCCTTGTATATCTATGTTGTCAAGCTCGGACAACCTATAACTAGGTTAGGTGTGCGGATGTGACCTCCGCATGAAGGTCTGGTAGATAGACCAATCATCATCCGGGTCTAGACCTGCAAATTTAACGTACTATCATGGAGTCGACACGATGAGAATGACACATGAGGGTAAGGCGCACCTTGAGAATCTCCAGTTCTCGCTTCACCTCGTTGTAATCTGCGTATGTTTCAAGTTGTGTTATCGGAGCGTCTATTTTGCGCGAGCAGAGTCTGCTTCACGAGCCTGTGGAATGTGTAGATATGAGTGATTGTACTCATCGAGGATATTTCGTTCAGGATGACACCTGCCTTTTCTGGAATCCGCTCCTCTGATCGGGCTGCTGCGCCTCGTGCAATACCGACGGCAGGTTCGAGTCGGGTGCGTTCAGACTCAAATTCGGAGAGACGAGTCGTTAAAGACCTAACGCTATTGACACGTGCACACGTAAGAATAAGAGGGTACACAAAAAGAGTGGGCAAAGGTCGAAACGGAAGGAAAGAAGAGAAACAGACGTACCACTCACTGCTTTGCTGCCAGTGCGCAATGCCTCGAAGGTCCCAGTAATAGGAAGGAAGGGTAAAATGTTTGCATAGCGACGAGGAAGGTGACTGTATGTCAAACAATAGAATAAAATATCTGACACTGTGTGGTAGTTAGTTAGTCGATGAACAAGGGATAGAGGCTGACAAAACTTACATTTCGCAACTCAACGGTCGCGACTCTGCTATTCAAGTGTTCCAGGTCGACCATCATGTCAGCCTCTGCAAGACGGGAGATTATCTCTTTGTCTGAGTAGAAGTGTTAGCGTGTGAGACGAAAGCACAGTAATGATGCGGAAAGAAGGGGGCGGAGGATGGAAGTGCAGCTCACCCTGACGCTCGAAGCTTCAAGGAAAGTCATGCAGAGAGGCTGAGAGCGACGAGCGCAGCGGGTTTCAAAATCACGTGATGCCAGTACATAAGCCCACGTGGCTGTGTCGAAAAGTACTCAGAGATTCGGAGTCCAGACTCTAAAGAAGAGGAGGAACAGCTGGACGATTATCCCAGATATTGACATAGCTGATGCCACTTTCGCCTGAAGTAATACCAAAATAGGTGCGCAAGCAGCTTTCCTTCTTCTGCGGTACGCCATATGTCAGTATCAAATAGCAAGTCCCACGATATGGATCTTCGCATCTTGCTTCATCAAACCACCCATAAAGTGATGAGGAAGGCGTTGCGGAATGCATTGACGCAGCGCGTCATATGACCAAGATGTGCGCTCAACTCCTCAGTGAGTACCCATGAACACACTTGCGCACTGTTGCATGTGCTGACGAGTCTGTAGTATGAAGCACGAGATTGGCCATCTTTGCCATGACGAGCAGCGACCGCCAAAGACTGGTGGGAAGCAGAGTTCCGATGCTGTTCCAGCTGCTTCGTCAAATAGTGTTGATCCTGCAAGGTCGATGACTCGTGTGTATACCATGGCTTTGTATTACTATGCTGAGAGCGTTTTGCGCAGAGCCTATCTATGGCTCATCCATGCCTCCTCCAGCGACCGTCGCATGGCCAATGAGTGTTCCGTCAAGCGCATATCTCTGTCAGCCCGAAACGTTAAGCAACGAATTTTCAGTCCTCACGTTGTCATTTTATGGTCTTTCCGCTATCGGGAGGGGGCTTCGTGGTCGCACCCCTGCAAACGTCCCCGCCGCTTCCGGCGTGTTGGGGGGGTGGCTTTGCCCCTCTCAAACTGGGGGGGGGGTCGCTTTCAGGGTGGTCGTTTCGTCCGTCTCAGTGAGGGTCGTGCCTTTGTCATCGCTTATTAATCACTTTTTGTCAGTGAGGGTCGTGCCTTTGTCATCGCTTATTAATCACTTTTTGTCCCAGTCCAAAGCCATGCTCCTTGTCAATGTCATTCCATCCATGGTCTCACGACATCATCGCATCAAGATCCCGGCGACATATGAGCAAAATACTCGAAAATCATGGACGCGTTTTCATCAGACCGCGGGAAATTTTGGCCTCATATCTTTGTCGTGCTCCTCGTCTTGCTCTGTCCATCCATGGTCTTGTGTCATCTTCTCGTCGCATTCCCAGCCGCATACAGTCATAATGCTCAGCAAAATTCAAAAAATATAAATTGGCAATGGCAGGAATCGAACTCAAGATCTCAATATGATGACCCATCTTTACCACTCGACCATAATGGATTTTACTTTCCTAGCTCGCAACGGCATGTATCGTGATGCGATCTCTAATAAATCTCTTATGGCTTGCAAATGGTAGGAATGAGTCGCATGCTTACAAGGGTAAAGGCCCCTCAAAGTGGGAAAACATGTCATTATATAGGATTCTTGTAAATAGGTTCGGTTAAATATATGGTTATGTTAACCCCTAGGCCCCGAAAAACGAAAATGGAAGGCCTACAAAATCCATTTTGGTAATCTATCATTACAAAATACAGCATATATAGCATATATCAAGTGTAGATCTAACTGGTACATTATAGCATCATAATGACATAACATACATCACACAAACTCATGGCTATACACACCAAAAATTCTTAATACATATATAGTATATCTAATGTTGACCTGTGATAGCGTTGAAAAATGGAGAAAATATCATATAGAAAGTATCATATCATATAGGAATAATATACGGTATAATGTATTCTAACGTCCGCGGTCGCCACAGGTCTATTGGCGGAACAACGGGAGCAAAAGAACGAATCAAACATACATACATGAACAGATAAATATAGTAAATTTCCGCACTTGGAACTGGTCCATCTGCGGACGTTAACAAGTTAATAGTCTATAATATATCATATATCATATATAAATGATAAAGATAAAGATAAAGATAGTAAAGATATATACCTTCTATTGACGCCAAAACAACATCACGTGATAACATCACGTGATGCTCGCGGACCTCCAGTGAACATGAGGCAGAGGCACAGGGCGAAGGGCGGAAGGCTAGGGTAAACCAAAAATCTGGGAGCCGGATAATAAAAATTTTCACTGTTAGTTACTTACCATCGTGTTGCCGTTGCGTTGCCCCACAAGATCAACAAATTTTCGAGCTAAATGGCACCAAAGAAAGCTAAAGGAGGAGGAAAGAAGGGAGGATCTGGAGGAGTAAGCGTTTGGCATTGATCAGCGCGAGGAAAGACTAACCAATGGCACACTAATGTTAGGATGAAGGTGGATCGCACCTGCTACTGAATCAGCGTCCGATAGAGGCAGCACCTCCGAAGATAGACCTAGGCAAGGAGACGCAAAAGTTAGACTCACGGGTAGCAAAATGCAGAGCTGGCGTTGCATGGGTCAATCTGCTGCAGATCGGAGACACCCTAAAGTTCGGCGTGTACAACGATCGCCCTGAAAACGACGCGGAAACGAGCAAACTGGTGGCGGCGTTCAAGACCCGCATCGTGCCTATGAAAGAAACATCAGCAATCCCAATCATTGTCGATCTTAAGCGGGTTGGGAACAAGGACTCACTGTTGCAAACAGTTTGATGAGCCGGAGAAGGTATGCGAGCTGACAGTGAAGGATACGAACCCTATTGTAGTCGCGTCTGGTCAGCATCGTCTCTCGGCGTTGAGACGATACGCACAATCTGTACAAGATGAGTATGATTCGCTGGAGAAAAGGAGGATGAAGATAATCGGCATGCCAAAGCCCTCTGCGGATCATGTGCAGCAGCACAATCAGTACCGAGCAATTCAGGAAGAATTACGATGGACTCTCGACAACATTGGTCAGTGGGGAGTGATCGTCTACGATCAAGGTAAGCACTTATCTGTTGTTATCACGGGTGTCCATCTATGTGCATGTGTACACACGTGTCACATGTCAGCGTATCGTATAGTGCGTATGCGAAGCACTTACGATGAAGGATGTCCGCGCAGGCCACTGTTCCAAGCGCGGACAACGAGACACTAAACGTCTCCTTCAACACACGATAACTCGTGTGCTGAAAACCAGCTTACGCGTCAAAGTGACACAAGCGTGTAGTGTAAATGACAAACCTTGACGTGGTCCGCGCATGGAACAGTGGCCTACGCGGACCACGCGCCAACGAACCCTTTCATACGCGGTTGGAACTGTTCCAACTGCGGCGAGATCAGCACGCTGTGGATAAAGACTGACGAACTTACTTACAGAGAAGTTGCTTGCGGACGGGGACGAGTTAGCAATCCATTTAAGTCGCAACAATACGTTACATGAATATGGGGAGACGCACGAGGAGACGCTCGTCCGAGCGTTGAAAAGAGCGAAGGTCGTGTACGATACCTCGCCTGAAGACACACGAGATGGTCTGGCGACAAATATGCTAGCCGATATTCGCACTTCAGCAGATAAAAACTCACGTTTGCAGAAAGTCCTGCACCATGACAGGCTATGCCTGTTTCTCGCGACGCGACTTCTCGCCTTAGGACCACACGTGAGACATCGACCGGAATTCTCGGTGACATGGCTGTCGAAAGCAATCGATGTGTGCATGGGAGTAAGTCTATTGTTGAAGATTGAGAACGTTGAGATAACTTACGTTCTGATACAGGTCTATATATCTTGGTTGGAAATACGCATCAGCACGTTGAGGAAGTTAGGATCGATAGACGAGTTTGCGAGTTATGATACTGTGGTGCAGCTCCAGGAGCGAGCCGAGGAAGGGGACGAGGAGGCGAAGAAACAACTGAAGACGTTACGGGAAACGATGAAGAAGTCGAGCAGTTCGTTCGACATGTCCATGTGGACACAAGTCCTAGCAGCCATGGACAAGCACGCGAAGGATGCGTTCGGTGAGCTGACGGACATTATTGGGGACATGTCCCCCAAGTACATCATGCACCTTAGTTCCTATCGCTCGAAAGTCATCAAAACGTTGCGGGACAGGTGGAATCTTACCTCGCACGCGAATTTCCAGGACAATCCAATTTTAACTCACCTTGACCGCATCGTTGCACGCGTCGCGCTTCACCTCACGCCTCAGGAAGGCAAGAAAAACGCCCCGGAACCTCTGCTCGGTGGCTTCATGATGTCGTACGCTTGGGCGTCGTTCACGAAGATTGAGAAAGGAATTGCAGAGGTAAGTCATCATTTGTCTGAGGAAGTGCAATGCGACCGGCTCACGTATGAATGCATCGACAGGTCTGTCGATGGTTCGAGACCCTGCTCGACTATTACCGGATGCTGCACCCGAAAACCCACACGATGGACGATTGGTCCAGCGTGATGATGGCTAACATCGGGAAAGACCCGCGTTTCGTCGACCACGGGCACAATAACCCAAGGGAGGTCTGTACCTACGTCGTAAGGAGATCAAAACAGGACGCTGACTTCGCTGATACAGGTCACGAAGATCATCTGGACTCACCGACGTACGTTAATGATGCGTTTGACTAACTGCATGGTTTATGACAAGCATTCGCTTGTGAAACGACCTACCGAAAAGAAAGCCCTCGACGCGGAATACCTGAAGCTACCAGAGGCCGAGATACTCGCAAGTGAGGCGCTCTCGAAGTTTCTCACTTCGAAGAGGTCGAAGAATGGCCCGAAGAGCCGGAACTTAGCGATGGAATCGCAAGCGATTGCAGGAATGATGGCCCTGCACACCACGAGCTGGGATTGGCTTAGTCCGTCCCTCAAGAACGGGACCCGAGACATCGAGCCGGTCATGAAGGCCATCGCAGTTGAAAGGATGTACCTCACCAAGTACCGTCCCAAGCTCCTCAACGACAAGTACGTCGGGGCACTTCGTAGGCTCATCGAGCAGGCACTAGCGCCTCGCCTCGAAAAGGTACAAATCCTAGGTGGGGCAGGTCAGCTCAAAACCGTTCAGGAATGGGTCTGGTGGGACGGACTCAAACTCGGCGAGTCCCAAATGGACCCCAAGGATGTCCTGAAGACGATCGAAGACACCACCATCGTTGAACAGCAAAAGACGCGTGACCGTCTTCTGCTCGAGGAGAGGGACCGGGAGGCTCTCAATAAACTCGTCACATACGTCATGGGCATGCCATGTGTCCGATCGACATCCAGTGCAACCTCCCTGCTATCCGCAGACGTTGCACATCCGTTCATCGACATGATTAAAGTAAGTCCCCACCCGCCGTGGCCACTGGTCTATGCGCGGCGTATGTGTACCTATGCACCCTTTTGTACCATGCAACCTCTGCATAGAGGTTGCATGGTATAGAAGGGTGCATAGGTACATACGTCCGCGGATGCCACTGTGGCATCTGCGTCGAATACGTGAGCTGATAGTATCTTCAACAGGGGATAGAACTCAATGGTGCTAGACTTCGTGATCGTCTGTTAAACGACGATCCCACGAAACTGTTTGTCATCGACGGCCATTCTGTCGAACTTGGTATCTCTGTACCGGAGGCATACGAAGATCTGTTCACGCAGGTAAGTGATGTCGTACTGTACATATATCGCAAGACATGCGTTCTATGTATAATGTGCATATTTCTACCTACTCACTTACATTATGGTCTTACAGGGCAATAATAGGACATCGGCCGAACACGGTGCCGACGAAAACTTGGAGGAGGAGCCTGCTCCGAAAAAGAAGAAGAAGAAAGGGAAGAGCCGGGCAGTTCACATCGACACTCCACCCGTCCCGGAGCAAGACACAGAACCGGATGATGCGCCCGCACGCTCTGCGTCTGCTCCTCCTCACAATGTCGACGATAACGATGCTCGTGGGCACAGTCTCATGACTGGATCGCAGCAGTCTGATCTTCCTGCAACGTCCAAACCATCGAAGACTTCGTCCGGTAAGCCAAAGCCTCGTCCCGTCCCTCGCAAACAACGACAAGCATCCCCTCCTCCCTTGGATGACGACATCGAAATTCTCGACGACTCTCTCAACTCTGGAGGTCACGATGTTCGCACTAACGATGACGGTACGTACATGCATTGACATGTCTTCACCCTGTCTGCACTAATCATGCGTCGTGTTATTCAATCACAGATGTTGTCACTCCACGTCCTCCCGTTCGCCCTCTCACCGAAGACAGTGTCTCTTCGGATGGACCGTCCGGTACCGTTGAGACCAACCAAGGCCCCGCCCAGGCCACTGTTCCATCCGCGGCTGTTTCAACAGGTATGTCGCACGTTATATATATTAGCATGTTATGTACATAGTCCGATTATAATATAGGTACTCCAGGTTTTTCCGCCCAAGGAACTGTTGCATCTGCGGGCGACACGTTAGGTATGTGTCCATTATTTGCTTGTATCAATACACTATCTAATATCGTATCTATCATGTAGTACGTCCTCTGTCTTCCGCCGTCGCCACGGTTGCATCTGTGGCTCATGACAACGATGCTGGTGAGTTGAAGGTCAATTTATCTCATACTCATTCATCTCTCTAACTTGCTTTATAGGTGGTATCTTCACTGGGACCATCCCGCCCCTTACTCCATCCCCTGACGGACTCCCTCATGGATTCGGGACTGGCGACACCAGTTGGTTTGATCCCAACGATGAGGATGAAGACCAAGATATGCAGGATCGTCGCAGCTCCAGCGAGGAGGACGTGGAGGACGAAGATACCCGCAGCACAAGTCGTGCATCTGACGTTGACGACCCTCACGACAAAAGTAAGTCCGCCGTTGCCTCTGTTCCATGCGCGGCGACTTAATGTTTCTTACCTTCATATTGCAGCATACGTGCCAACCCAGCCGTTGACGCAAAACTGTTTGCCCCCTCGCAACAAAGGTGCGTATCACTTATCACATGTGTTTTTTTAAATATCTTAACCTAACCCCCTTAGAACCTCGCGTCGTCGCAACTGGTCATACCAAACGTGCGCGTGCTGAAACAGGTCCGTTCGCGTCTTGATTTTATTTTTGATGTTATAAGATTATTATTAAAATTCATTTCTTTTCAATCACTTAGGCGCTTCATCGTCATCTTCGACCCATGGCCGTGGCAGACAGACGAAGAAGAAACCCAAGGTCAACGTCCAAAGCTCCGATGAAGAGGACGACGAAACAATTGTCCCGGGCGTTTGAACATTTCGTTTTAACATTTCGTTTTTACATGCTGTTTTTTCAATATCGCACATTGTACTCCATGTTTCTTCTTTACCTGCTTGTCTTGTCGCTGTTGTCTTGATCTTTTTGCGTTGTTTCTTGTACGTTCGGGTGTCTCGCTGTTTGCTTGTCGATGTCATGTTTTCAGATACATAATATGTCAAATACGTCGAATACTGTCTTCTTTTTGTATGTTTTCCGTTTTCGATATGCTGCCTTTTTACGCTCTTGTCATTGCTATGTTCGATGTGTCTCTTTCACCTTACGTTTTCAAGTCGTTAAATACATTCGATCAATCGATGTACTTTCTGTGATATCACGGTGTGTTCGCGTGAATCTCTCTGTCGTTTGCATTCAATCACGCCCTAATAAATGAGTTCAATATTTTCTATGCTATTGCAAGCCGTGAATGCATGAATCCGTTGGTCTATCTCCATCTCCTGAATGAGTCTGTTGAATGTTGATCTCCTGCAGTTTTCAATGACGCTTTTGGCATTTGCTGTTCGGCTGTCTGCTGTTGCATATTTCTAGCTCTTTTCATGCACTTGCTGTGTGATCATTCAACGAACGTTGTGTCCTGCTGATTTCGTTTCATTTGTGTCGTCTTTCCTTCTTGTAAGCTCTTCCCTTCCTGTGCTATGATATACTGATGCAATCCTTGTTTGTCATTTGCCCCGCAAACTACCTGTCATACATCCTAATTCGCTTTACGACCGTTCAATGACGCTCATGTCATTTATTCTCTCTCTTGCTATCTTCTTAATGTCCCATGTCCATCCTCTGCTCAGTCATTCATGTGAGTCGCTGTCTCCTTCCCTGGCCTTTCACTTTTGCAGGTACTTTCTCTTGCATATGCCATCATATGCGTCTCTTTCGCTCCCCGATCGTATGATATCCATAATGCGACTCCCTGTGAATATCTTTGTCTCGTAATATCCCTGCTCAATCCTTTCTCGTCTCGCTAACCATTTTAAAATTGAGTTCAGAGCTAAAACGTCGCCTCGCGCTAAACTCGGACCTTGCTCTATGGATCGTCGATCCATTTAGCAAAGTGTTCCGCCGGTTTCGTCCAATAACTTTGTTTGTCGACCCTGTCTCGCTTCCCTCTGCCCTCTGTCATCTCCCAAGTCCTGTCCTGCCCATGACATGTTCCTTTGGGGTCGTGGAACGCTCTCTTTTGCCCATTGTTCTGACACAAAGTTTGGATAGCAAGCACCTTCGTTCATTCGTTCGTCCCGTCCTTTTCGGTTTACTTTCATTTCCTGGCCTTTTCCTTTTAATGATCTCTTCAGGTACCTCGATCGTCTCCTTGCTGACCCAAATTTTAAACTAGCACCCATACATGCTGCCGGCACCGCTGCAATATCATATGCCTCAATGTTCGTTTAGATCTGTCCCGTTCGGATCCTGTACTAAAATTTTCAATTTCCAAATGAAGTGGGACCTCTCAGTCGCCCTCTTCTTGCTCTTCTCTTTGCTCTGACCCATTTCAGTGCTGTCCCTAGTCTCGACACGCCCCTCCACACACATCCTTCTCGACTCTGACCCGTATTGTCTTTAAGTTCGACTTAGCATGTCAGACCACGACGACCTAGAGTGAGTGTCATTTCATTCTCCCTTCTCATGTCCATGTCCAAATGCTGGTTGCTCACGCTTTCCTCAAAGGTTCAACAGCGATGACGACGATCTCGCCACCTTCACTTTCCAAGGTGCAGCCCGACAAGGCGATCAGGACGAGCCTCGCCCATTTGATCTTGCGGATGTGCCTGCCTCAGTCGAGGCAGAAGATGCCTTGCCACAGAGCGACATCTTCGAGTGTCTCTTCATGAGCCAGGATAATTCGCGCCCTGCAGGCCGTACATGGGAACAGACCAAGGTACAGCCCATCAGCTTGTCCACCCTCGCAAGAACTTTCAAAAAGGGCGACAAAGCGACTGCAATCAATTTGCTCCATCGTCGTTCTGTTCTTCGCCTCGACGACGACTTTTACTATCCTAGCGACGACGAGATGTTGGCTTGGGACGCCTCCCAGCATTTTCTTGATTTCTGCCTCGTCGTAGGAGGCTCTGTTGGTTTGCACGCCTTGCTTCCGAACAAGGTGGTCGACCACACCTTCTCCATCGCCCTCAACCTTTGTCTTCCTACTCGTCTCTTTCGCCCCAAATTTGGCAAGTTAGGTTTTGATCCAACGGGCTGCATGATGGCTCTTGGAACCGGTCCTTCGTCTGAATTATGGCTGGCTTTTTGCCCTCGGGAGAACTTGGAAGACATCGACATTGCTAACGACGTCTCCCTTCTCAGCGAAAGACAGCACGGCGACACGAGGCTCTCATCGTCTCACTTTCGCATGGCCGTGATGTTCCTCGCTTACGCTCTCTCAAAAAACCCGTCTCTATCCATCTACGTTATGCATCACTATGGCACCGACGACGACCTCGCCGCATGGAGGATCAAGGACGTGTCGAACATATAGTGAGTGTAGGCTTTCTCGACATTTCCATTTGCTTTCTGTGACATCTGCCATATCCTTCCTTCTTCGTTCCCGTCATCCCATCCCCATGCCATGTATCTCCCAGACCCCACGTCAATAATTCCCGCCCATGGCATGTCATACCCGCAGTCGCAACGGTGGCGACGGGGAATCATGGCGGTTATGGGGGTTCCTAGGGTCAGCCTAGGGTCGATTTCAGCTTCACTTTCAAAACATTTCATGTATCAGATATGGCCTACTAGGACTCCCACTGTATATGGACCCCTTCGGTTCAATTTTCCAGATATCCCCATGCATCAGATGTGGGAGTCCCGGACTCCCACTGTGTGTGGACCCTCCACCCTTCATTAGTTGGAACACTGCTCATCCGTAGTGTACATGAGTGTGGCCTTCCAAGACTCCCACTATGTGGGGGGCATTGTTTATGACACACTCATCCCATTGTGTACATGAGTGTGGCCATCCAGGACTCCCACTGTGTGGGGGCATTGTTCATCACACACTCATCCCATAGTGTACATCAGTATGTTCCATTAATGAAACATAACCGAACATACACATCCCAATAGTGTACATGAGTGTGGTCTTCCAGGACTCCCACTATGAGTGGTGGATGGCCATTATGTCCTCATTCTGTGGTCCATCCACATGGGATGAGTGTGTGATGAACAATGCCCCCACACAGTGGGAGTCCTGGATGGCCACACTCATGTACACAATGGGATGAGTGTGTCATAAACAATGCCCCCCACATAGTGGGAGTCTTGGAAGGCCACACTCATGTACACTATGGATGAGTGTGTGATGAACAATGCCCCCACACAGTGGGAGTCTTGGAAGGCCAGTGCTAAACTGACCAACTGCTAACTGATTGAAGGGCCAACTCACTATGGGCCCAGTATATGTTGTGAGGGTAAGAGTATGTCACTGGGTGGGCTCCTTATATTCTGTGTGCCCAATGGATAGCAGTGGGCCTCCTATCTATATTTTTCATCGAAGAAAACTTTCTTTACAGATGGGCTCATAGTACAGTGCAAAGGCCATCTCTCGAGATTTTCGAGTAGGCCCGTGGATTCAGATGTAGCCAAATTACATTCGCCAATGGCATCTTGGTCAGCAAACATCAGATACAGCGGCAGATACAAATTGCAACATCAGCTGGCTACATAATTTTCATGATAGCGGGCGCATGCGCTCCCACATCATTGGCAGGTGTCCGCTGGCATTTAAATATGGCAAATTTGACATACCGGTGGCTACAACACGCAAGCTCTGCCGGCTGCATTATCTGCTGGGAGGGTATCTTTACATTGCCGGCAAGAGTCCACCGGAGTATGGAAATGGCATCCACATCAGGCACAATCATTAGCATAGTCGTGTTTATTAGCAGGAATCCCCGGCGAATGTGCATTATCCGCTGAGCAAATACAATTTTTAGCACACCCTGCGGTTCCCCAATGGTGTGTCGATGGGCCCACATCATGTCAGCACATCAAAGGGCCTGCTGTCGGTGTCCGCACTAGTAGAGTGAGCCCAACCCATGTCATGGGTAGTGAATGGGCCTGCTGGCGGTATGCAAAAAGATTAGTGGGCCCACATGGAGGGATGAACTAAGGGATGCGGGCCTACCCCTGAAATACAGCATAGTGGATGGAGCCCGATGCATCTGCCGAAAACGCAGGGGCCCAGCTACATCCAAGCATTTGTGCAGTGGGGCTCACACCATGTATGGCACTGTGAATGGGCCTACCGGCAGTATGCAAACAATGACGGTGGGCCCATCTGGAGGTCTGAACAAAGGGATGCAGGCCCACCCTAGAAGTAGAAAATAGTAGGGTGAGCCTGCTGTAACCTTGGAGGGTGCAGATAGGCCCAGCTGTATTGCGCTCTTTGTACGGTTGGGCTCACACCATGTAAGGCACTCCACGTGCAGGCTCATATCATGGTCTGATGGGGTGATGGGCCCAATCATTACAGTGGGTGACAGGGTGAGCCTGGGCAAATAGCTCGCTAGATTCCAACAGGCTCATATGTACCGCCATTGATACGAGGGGGCCCATGACATGCTGGAACAAGGTTTCAGGACCTGAATAACACCATCGCCAGGCGCCAGACACAATGTGGGCGCAGACAGGTGCTCCCATGTACGGTGACCATTGAGACCACATTGGTGCCGATTCCATGGTAAAAAACAACAAAGTAAACTATACATGAGTTCTATAGTACTAGCAAACATATGTACATTATTCTACATCACAAATTACATATTGGCATCATCAGCGGCCTTCATGACTACCGGCAAACAAGCAACCTCAGCTTGAGGTGTTGCCGGACCAGCAGCCAGTTCAACATTGGCCTCAGTGGAGGTACCAGAACGCATCGAGAGCAACTTGAAGGAGAGAATCACCTGGGCATTGATACTAGTCCAATGCAATGTGCCATAGCATGCGTGATAGTAGTTATTGACTCACAGTGTTTGCAACGTTCAAGTTGAGTTCCAACTTGCCAGTGAACATGATTATGTGTCGCACTTGAGCCTAAAGATGACCAGTTCAATAACTAATCTGGCTATTATCAAGATCATTGTGCAAGGTAGAACCGCTGTAGACATACTCTGAGCTGATCTAAGTAGTACTATATGATTGATGTATAATGAGACCATTTTGGCTGATTTGTGTCAGTTCTTGCTTGCCAAATGTGGTAACTTAATGCAAAGCCGTACTCAGTCAGTGCTTCAGCCTTAATTTCATCACACACCAAAAGACTGGCAACTCGATACTGCTTGTTCTTGTAGAGGTATCTAGAATAAATTATTTGTAACTACGTACAAAATATATACTGTTAAACTGTTATTCTATGTGTCCAATCCGAAACGGACTTGTCTGTTCTCTGTGCTGTGCTTACTAATCGACACCGCTCCGGCTATTCCCGGGTAAGTCAGTGTTCCCTACATTATTCATCTATGTATGTATTACTAATCCTTTTACTCTTCTGCTCGTACAGTCATCATGTATGGGCTGAGTCCAACAGTTCTTACTGCAAGAGATATTCAAATGCAAAGTGCACACTTCTCTCTCTGTTCTAGCTACTGATGTGTACCAAAAGACACAGTAACTTCGCCTCGTACTAGGAATCCTGGCTGCCACTTGCATTCTGTTCATGCCTACAGGATATACTTCACGCAGTGAGCTACTATACCATACTGCTCCTGATATCAATATTTTGTATTAATCATAGAGATGCATCAGTGATGCATCAGTGTTATATACAGTGACTCATACTGTCTGAAAATGTCATACTGGTGATTCCAAGTGCCAGAAATCAATTTCCAACAACACCGTTTAGGTCTAAGCAAATTTTGATAAAGGCTAATATCTAATATTAATACAGAAATGGAACAGTCAATACTTCGAGCAAATCTCTCTGAAAACCCTGGGCCTTTGCATCCAGCTTGGCCACACCACTGGCCTGAAATGTCCTAACCCTTGTCGCGCATTCAATGATGATTTTATTGTTGTCGACACCCACAGCATACACGAAGTATCTCTCGACTTCTGCAATTGTGCAACAGCCCAAAGCCATATACAACAGCTACTTCAAATATCGTGGTTTCCTTTGACAACATCAGATCCAAAAACTGCTGCAACATTCCGCGTTCTTGAACACTATCACCTACTCTCATTTGAGTCAAAAGTATCTGCCTTCGAGTTTTATAATGCGCTCAGCCGGATGTCCGATAACACTGGCTTACTTCCCATCAAGGTAAACTTAAATTTTAGGTGCCTTCAAAGTTAATCCAGCTTCCTACAGGATCGGTATGATTCGTTTACATGGATGATATGTGAGTGGTGCCACTTGAAGATGCTTAAGCGCTCAGGGTGAGGTCACAATCCCAGCGGTGTAGATGGGACAGTTGAGGGTGAATGTACTGTATTGTACCCAGCATGCCCACACCCAGGGAAGAATCTCCCAGCTGGTTGGAAAGATGCTCTTCAACAGTAAGTTTAAAGTGAGCTCCAGTCCGGAGGGGAATTTCTACTGATATAGGTACTGTTAGGTGGCTATATGGATTATTCCTCGCTATAGATGTGAACTTCCGCTTAAAACGCAAGGCTGTTTCAAGTGACAGTGTTGACCCAAGCCTGAGTCGCGGCTGGGGATATTTTGTCGAGGATAAAGCATATAAAGATTTCTTGCACAGTGGTGCGGACAGCATCCAGGAGGTTCGTGGTTTGAATTATTCTTTTTCATATATTAATGGTTAGATTTGCAGAAATCAATGTGTTCAAGTCACAATGCTGTAAACATGGCCGATACGAAATCTAACCGTGGACTCGCTACCACTGGTTTAGGTACTGTCGACTGTGCCCGCCATAACATGAAACTGCCCAATGCCGTTGGGGATCTTCAAAAGGGTGAAAGGTAAATTGTCATTTGCATCCAGCAGTTGGCAATCTAATGCACGCATGTAGATATATTAACATGGACTACTTGTTTTTCTCAGCACTACATCATACTGTACTCGACACTCTCAATGTATCCTACGACATCGCAGAAGGGAAGATGGTTCAGCAAAGCAACACTCTCCAACGGAGGATTGATACCTGGATGAAGATGCAGGAACTATACATGCCGTCGCTCGCTGCGCTACGTGTGAGCAAGAGTTCAGTATCTGGCAGCATGACTGCTGCACCAGAAGCAATCAAGCTCTGGCTGCCATCCCAGATCAGCAGGACCACACCTTGCAACAGCCGCCTCCAGGCCATCAAATGGAAGCTGCGGTATGCACAAGCTCACGATGCACTTCGCTCTCTGCATTCAAACTTACGTGCTCAGACTGCGATCCTCAAGTACAAGGACTGCAACCTCCATGGACAAGGAGCAAACACAAGGGCACGGAATACATTGAAAGCTGTTGAGGCGAGGATTGAGGCTGCTGCCAGGACTTAGAAGTATGCGCATAAAGCCCTTGTGGTCCTTTTACCGCGAGTGAATCAGACTGGGTGACACTCATCACTGCGACCACTAGACCGAGCTGACGTCCACTCGATGACGGACTTATTATGGGGAGAAACAGAGGGAACGAGAAAGTTGTCGTAGATTTGGAATATGCGGGGAACAGCTGCCAACAAGATAGACAAGGACAGTGCCTCGGAAAGTAGGTGGCTCTTTATTTCATGGCTTCCTAGTCAGACTCACGGACAAGCAGACCTGCGAATAGAATGGTGCAAAGCCAGGGCACGGGCGATGCGCTGGACAGAAGAGGTGGAATTGGTGAACATCAGTAAAGTCCAATTTTCTCACAGAGGTCACAAACTTCGGGTCTTGTGACAGTAAATCACAGAGCCCCACAGTTTGCGCAGGTTCACAGTACACAGTGATACAGCGACTCCAGTCCAAATCCACCCACAGACTCGGATTTCAATGTATGATACTATGGCCTTCAAGTTGCAAAAACTCACAAGTCTCACACAGTACTAGTACCAAGCACAGTGTATCAATAGCTATAGTATTACTAGTATACTCGTACTGGCGCAAAAGTAGCAATACAATTTCTCAACTTAAGTTCGAGTTCATTTGAGCATACAACACATAGTAACATTCATGGTAGTAACGAAGGACAGCATAAAACAACTATTAAACACTACAAAAAATAAATCAATCAAGCTGAATCATGGGGGTCCGATCATGCAAGATATCCAATGTCGTTCCTGTAAAGAGTTAGAAACCGATATGAGCACAGAGAGCACATCACACCCACCACATGAACATGATCCACCTTGTGCATGAGCGAGACGACTAGGAGGGACAGACCAACCATACGTATTGCAGATAACCCTCATACATCCCAGGCCAAGGTCTGTGTCATCTAGTCTCTTCTCAGCGGCTTCTGCTCAGAATTTCAGCAGGCTTGCAAACACCTCATTTTCTTGCATTACACATTCTGCGAGTACCTTCTGAGCCCTGTAAACATTGCACTTGGCTCTCACGAGATTCATCATGATCCTTGCCTCAGATTCAGTAGGTTCCTGGTCAGACTATGTTGAAAAGCAAGTTGTACGATAATGATGGACGACATGAATGACTCACCATTGCATTCACAGCTTCAAGAACTTCATATAGGTTGCATATGCCGCTATCATGGTTGTCATTATGATGTCGATCATGAGAGTGAGGGCTAGTGTGGGTAGAAGAAGCACTCGCTGATAGTGATTGCAGAGTACTAAGATCAAACTTGAGCGGCGAGGATAACATGATGCGGAAAGACTGACTCATGGAAATTGCCGAACTACAGTGTGTATCCTCTTTCTCCGCAATCATCATTCTCTGCGAGCATGCTGCCAACTCATTGCCCTTCATGCGGGAAGGAATTCAGGGATCATACTTCCGTTGCTCGACATATGAGCCAACCACGGTCTGGATGCAACACGTGGCTACAAGACTTAATCCAGCTTCACTCCACCCTTCCACCTAGTGAGGATTCGGCAGATGATCCTATGGCAGCAGACAACATCAGTGAACCTCATGAGTCTTACCATGAACAAGTTGAAGGAGAGTACTTTGACGGAGGTGGAAATTGGAGCAAGGACTGTGAGGCTGAAGTAACCGACTATTTTCCTGAACCCCCGCTAGCCTTTGAGGAGGGCTATACATTTCTGAGTTTGTTCGACACCGATGAAAATAGCATCCATTGCAAAATGAACCTATACTATCCATTCAGCAGTTGGAAGGAATGGGAGGTTGCAGCATGGCTTCTGCATTTGGGCCTGAGCATGGGCAAGATAGATTCGTTCCTGTCGCTGGAGATGGTAAGTTTCTTAATTTCAAACACATTAAGGCAGCTTATTTCAGGGAGCACTTAGATAAAAGATTTGCATTTATCATTCCGCTCAGCTAAAGAGTTACGAGGTCGAGCTGAAATGCTACCAGGTGGTCCACATTGGAAATCACAAGTAATATGTACATCCCATTCCACCAAGACGCCGGTTATTCTCTACTGGCGAGATCCGCTTGAGTGCATCGCCAGTATTTTCAACCATCCTTTATTTCACAACCGTCTAGACCTCACTCCTTGCAAAGTGTATTCCACATCGCAGAAACTGTCTCAGGTATATACTGAGTGGATGACAGGGCAACATGCTTGGGACATGCAGGTGCGTATTATATCCCTCTCGAGGTCATCAGCTCATGTATTCTTGAAGTCGGCGCTACCTCACGGTGCAACTCTCCTTGGTGTCATTCTATCCTCAGACAAGACATGTATCACCACATTGACAGGCGATCGTGTTGCCCATCCGCTACTTATCAGCCTCACCAATATTCACATGAATACGCGATTGAAATCATCTTCGAACACTTTCCTCCTCACTGCCCTGCTACCGGTCCCAAAATTCGTTCATAAGAACAAACGGATGAAGGGCGTATTGCAGGATTGGCTCGTTCATCAGTGCTTGGATATCATACTAGAACCCTTGAAATCGGCTGCTCAACTGGGCGTCATGATGTCAGATCCGATCAGATGCAGCCATTACTGCTTCACTCCACTTGCTAGCTACATCGCCAATACTCCGGAAGCGATGATGCTGGCATGCATTGGCGGAAAGACATCTCCAGTGACCATGGCCATGTACAAACAGTTCGGAGATGCCTTTCACCATGAACCCCAGACAAAATCAACAACTCTTGCACAGCTGGATATTGTACACTCACATGCTGATCCACATAACCTCGAGGCATTCTTTCATGAAGCGCAGAAGTTCCGCCTGAATGGCGTTGAGAAACCATTCTGGAGTGACTGGCCACTAGCCGAACCCTCCCATTTCTTCACACCTGAATCGCTACACCACATTCACAAGCAGTTTTACGACCATGATGCCCAATGGATTATCATTGCTGTGGGAGAGTCTGAGTTAGATTTTCAGTTCTTGGTTTTACAGCCTACTACAATTTACCGGCATTTTCATGGAGGCATATCAAAGCTGAAACAAGTTACTGGTTGCTGTCATCGTGACATTCAGCGATCGATCATTGCACTCAGCGCAGATGCAATGCCTCCTGGTATCATGACTTCTGTACGCGCACTCATGCATTTCCATTATCTTGTGCAATCGCCATGCATTGACGATGATAATCTTGCCCGCATCTCGGCTGCATTGGATGAGTTCCATGCAAATAAGCATGCAATCATCACTGCTGGGGTTCGCCGGGGAAAAGGCAATACAACCATCGACAACTGGTACATACCCAAACTCGAGCTAATGCAGAACATCGTTCCTAGCATCCGTAGCTCTGGTGTTATAAGTCAATGGTCTGCCGATGCCATGGAACATGCACACATCATGGAAGTCAAGAACCCTGCAAGATCAACCAACAACAATAGTTATGATCCGCAAATATGTCGTTATCTTGACCGCGCTGGCAAGTGTAATAGGTTTGATCTTGCCATCGGTCTTTTGGACAGCAAGCTGAGTGTTGAGGATCTGGAAGTTGTCTGAGAGGAACACAAAGGTGATGACATTGACGAGGACGCGGATGTGGAGATCGTTGCTGTGGAGATTCCATCCAGGGCTCAGCGACCCGATCAGCCGCGTCCTATCACAGATTATTTCACAATCGCCAAAATGCTACAGCACAAAAAGGCAGGATCGATACCCATCCCACTATGCTCTTTCGTTGTTGGGCGCACTGCACTCCATCTCGCATATGATCCTTCTATTAGGAATATTGGTGTCGATGAAGTTGCCATCATGTTCAACCTGCCAGACCTTCGCCCAGCTCTCGCTGATTTCCTTCACCGCAAGGAGACTTCTGAACATCGTCTTCATGCAATCAGTGGTCCTCGAAGAGCTGGACCTGAAGCTGAACTCCCATTTGATAAGCTTCAAGTCTGGTTCAGAATATGTTTACAAGAAACGGAATTTCACGACGCCCATGAAATTCGCCCAGCTCAAACGTTAAACTGTGCACCACCTAGTGGGCCCTGGACTTCGGGCTGTTATGACACCGTCATTATCCAGACCAATGCAGGGCAGTCATGGCCTACTTGTGGTCTTTCAGGTGCGCTTTCTGTCTCATTGTTAGTGGATATACTAAAAAATGAGCGCTGCAGGTCACTCGGTAGCCCAACTCAGACTTCTCATATGGCCTATTGGCAAAAGTGGTACGCCATGGTCTTGGGAAGATCAGTTCATCACCTATTTGCAATGATTTGATATCTCTAACGAATGCAATCCGACTACTCAGCTACATGTGCTGAGAAGATCGAAGCGCTCTAATGGCAGTTGGATGGGGGACATCATTCCAGTTTCTCAGCTGAGATCACCTGTCCATCTTGTCCCCCGCTTCGGCGCAACTGCGGACACATGTTTTACTGCCTATAACAGCATGGAGCATGCATCTGAGTTTTGGCTAAACTATTTTTGGGACAAAAATAGCTTTTTTGCGCTGTCAGCTTAATTCATACCTGTTAAGCAACACTTTCATGCAATAAAATTATCAGTACCCACATAGAGACAGTAGTACCTGTGTTGAAATGAGCCCTTTGTCCTCCCTTGCACGCAGTCATGTCACCAGCTTGGCAACACGGAAAAACTGTAGATTATGGGATGAAGCTCTCATCACTGATGTCGGCACCCATGATTAATGATGTGCCTACACTGGACAAACTCACCGCTCTCGAACTTAATCACTTAATCTTGCATGAACTGTCACCAAAAGATGATGCAAAAATTAGTTATGTGTTGTCGCAGATTTTTAGTTCATTTACCTTCCAACTCCCAGATGTCACAGAGCTACAGGTCCCATTACATAAATTTCACTATCGGGACGACAGACTTCACAGAAAGTTTGCCACCACACGCGAAAATGACCTGGCTCATCTGTATGACAAAGATGAATGCCGGTGGAACTGGCCGCTTCCGAAATCGCACCACGATAATGTCGAGCAGTGGCTGCTCCCTAGTGATGGGAGTCTTGGAGATTGGCAGGAGGAGAGCGCCATGGCAGATGTGGAGTCTGGAAGCAGAGGTGATGGCGGTTCATCTTTGGAGGAAGTACCTCCCTCTGGGTCACAGCCAGAAGATGCCGACTTGGACTCGGATACACCCTCACCACCGTTTGAGGGAGTTTTTGCGATGTTCCTCACTGTTTAACGTTTTGCACTCGCCCAGAAGGTGCCAAGGATTGTACAGGAGACCAACCCAGTCCCACGCCTGTGGAGTGCAGGAAACTCTACACGCCCTGTGAAAGATGAAGAAGTTTCACAAAAGCCTGACCTTGCATTATTGGATGATGTTAAAGCTCGATGGGACACAATCAAGGCGGTTTGCGAGCTGACATCACGACCATACTCAGCTATGGGCACAATAGGAAATACGCTGGACAACAAGGTGTTCCTTCTCTTCAGACGACAGCCTTGGAGACGGTTCGTTTTACTCATGTCCGTGACCAAAGAGTATCGCGAACTTTGAGTTCATATGTACGACCACTCAGGTGCCGTTGTAACGCCTCCAATTAACATCGACACTCACCCAAACAATTTCTTACACATCTTTTCATGCCTTGTCTTTGGTAAACTTGAGTGCCTGGGGTATGACCCCTCGATTGTCATCCTTACAAAAACACTGCGACCTGCCCAGCTTGAATGTGCATCGACTTTTCTCCGCCCCAGCATAAACAGGTCACCCACACCAGACACGATGGAGGGTGTCGTCGAGAGCATCCCCCCCCCTCCCACGAGATGGGAGACATATCTGAGAGCATGACCCCCCTCCCCCAGATTGGTGACACACCTGAGAGCACCCCCCAAAGCAATCCCATGCTTGATGTCGACATCCCCGATGATTCTCATCCTGTGCGTCAGCTAAATATCCCCGATGATCCTCTTCGTCTTCCTCTTCCTGCTCCCATCGGTCGAATCCTTGTCAACGATCACACGTACGACATCCTTGAAGTCATATTTTCTAGTCAAGGGCTTGTTGGTCGTGGTACCGTTTGTTATTTGGCGTGGAGGGGTGACAAAGAATATATCATCAAAGATCACTGGGTTCTTGGCAGTAAAGTGGACACCTTGAATGAAGTCAAGATGCTGCAGGCAATGAAAGATGTCCGTGGTGTTCCACAGCTCATCGATCACTGGCTTGTCGAGATCAAGCCTGGGAAGGTTAATCAAACGGGGCTTTATCGTTACAAGCTGTTGAACAGCCTTCAAGATGCCGTCCGCACACATGTTCGTTTGGTGTTAAAGCCTCACGCACAACCATTATATATGTTCTGGACGAAGGCAGAGTTGTTGGGCGCTATTCGGGATATCATCAGCAGTAAGTATATATTCAATACCCCTCCCTCTTCTACATTCAACTGACCCAATCTTACAGTT